TAAATATGCACAATCAGAGATTGGAACTTTTTGTTGACCTTTTTTTGAGATGGGTCTTTGTTTTTGTACTTTGTAATTTATTTTTTTGTAGCACTCCATGTTGTACGCCATGTTGAGTATGTTCAGAAGAATATAAATAAAGCCATATAAATAATAAATATTTGATATACTGTATATTTTTTACATTCGTAATTCATTTTACACATAATTTTACATTATTTTTGGTATTAAAGTAATTTAAGCAACAAAAAAACTGAGGAGACATTTGGGAGCCGAAAGAGCCGTCTCTTTTTAGTGAGCCGAGCCAAAAGAACCGGCTCTCTAAAAAGAGCCGGAATTCCCATCACTAGTATGGGGCACCTCTGGAGATTTGCCGACGTATAACCTCACGGACCAATGTACACTTCTTCCAGCCAAAAGTATCGCAAGAGCAAACAATGGGACTCAAATACTTACCGTTTCTTTCTCAGACTCATCTTTGCAAAAAATTTGCTGATAGGATTTTGTTGAGGCAGGCAGGTCGCTGCTCACTTTATCCAAGAAGAGTAAAGAGTGAATATTTCGGGGTTCAGATTCACACCTATTTCAAATTGGGGGCGTGGCCACAAAGGTATCAAATTTCAGCGATGGTCTGCGGTCAATGATTCACTCAACACTTTCCTCAGGATAGGTTACTGTATTATTATTAATTATCATTTTATGTTTGAGCATCATATTATTTCATGTTAAGCATAGCTGAATTATATTCTGTTGTTTAATAATTGCTTGGACATGTTTTTATGTTGATAGGTTCTGGTTGGCTGTTAAAGTAAGAGAAGCAGGAAGTGATTTTAATTACAAGACTTGGGTTCTCGAACGCACTGCAGTGCGGACGTCTTTTCTATCCCCTTTTAATAGACTGCATTAAAGGATTCCATCTCTCCTTTTGTCATTCGTAAAGTAGAGCTATCCACTAAAAACAACGGACCCCTCAACTTACATTAGCTTTGACAATTTCGTTGTTTTACACTTGAGAGTAATAGCTTCAGAGATGCAATTGAAAGATTCAAAGCTAAAATTCAACTGATAAGTCAATTCAGTTGTTATTGTCAAATATGCTCTATGTGTAACATATAGCACAGATGAAATTACTTTCCTCTCTCAACCACAGTGCAAACATGTACTATATTGAACACACAGCTAAAATTTTAGAAAAAAATCATGAGACATAAATATACACAGACAGTATGATTTTTTGGGGCGTGATGTATGCCACTGACACTATTGTTTATTGTGTGGTAGTACTTTATGTGGAAGGTTAGGCATAGAAAAAAAAGTAGTGTGTTTGCGGTAACCCGACCGACCGAGAATTTCTACATCGAAAAAAAATTTACGGTCGACATTTTTTTCAAACAACCCTCTACATTTTTGTGTAGAGGGTTTACATCGGTGCAAACTCTTGCGATATTCACGTTGAGCACGAGCGTCGTTTGCCCTGTCGTCTGTCAACAACATTGAAACATGGTGGCGGTCGCGATCTCCGACGACAGTTTTAACCGCGTTTTCTGTGTTTCAGTCGCATGCTCGCTACGAATAAAATAGCATCGATTGATGTATCGAAAAAATTCAGCGAACTATGTGATGAACACCACGGGCCGAGTAAAAACCAAGGGCGAGGAGGACGGCGGAGGAGGACAGCGGCGGCGCACCTTGGCCCCCCCGAGTCCGGAGCGGAGAGAAAACTAAATAGGTGGCGGCGGCGGCGCGGGTTCAATGTCTTCTTGTTTTATGTTTTATGGTTATTTTGTTTACATTTTTGATGGGGGAAAAAAAGATTAAAAAATAAAAAACTTTGTCCGACCTACCGACCCTATGCTGAAATTTCATGTTACCGGAAACACACCATCTTTTTTGTTTGGCCTTACCATGTTTTGGGTTGAAAAAATTGAAGGGAGTGGAGCTTCCCTGCAGTGCGCTTCTGACAGTGAAGGTTCGCAAAGTCACATCGAGCATTCAGTAGCAACTACACTGAAAAATAGAAAACTTCTCCAGTCTTGTGCCTCGAACCGAGTGTAGTCACCAGAAATGATGAATACACAAGACCAGCGAGAGACTTACACACAAGTAGGGTCAACAATAATAAATAAAACAAATAACAAGCAACAACAACAGACAAACAAATAGCAACAACAGACACCAAGGGCACTTGTGATTATTGCATATTCGCAGAAAACAATAATCGGATGTCAGATGTGGGGGGAGGGACACCGATTGTGGCAGGAGGCAGGGGTACAGGGGGGGGCAGTGGCGGTTTTTGGGGTATGGTTATTTTGTTTACATTTTTGATGGGGGAAAAAAAGATTAAAAAATAAAAAACTTTGTCCGACCTACCGACCCTATGCTGAAATTTCATGTTACCGGAAACACACCATCTTTTTTGTTTGGCCTTACCATGTTTTGGGTTGAAAAAATTGAAGGGAGTGGAGCTTCCCTGCAGTGCGCTTCTGACAGTGAAGGTGCGCTAAGGCACATCGAGCATTCAGTAGCAACTACACTGAAAAATAGAAAACTTCTCCAGTCTTGTGCCTCGAACCGAGTGTAGTCACCTGACACGGCACGATTTATATTTTCAATGTAAAATCACAAAACGAAACAAGCACCCAACAGTGGCATTATGAAGTCTAATTCCTCTTCACTTAAACATTTAACTTAAAAATTCAAAGAAAAACTGACATTACATCATATTTCTATATGAAAAAGAAACACATTGATCCAGACACAGACAGAGAGTCAGATGATGATAGTGGTGAGAGATATGAAGAGGAGCAAGTTGAAAACACCAGAGAGGGAGAGTCAGACGACACGGGATTCATTTATTTTCAGAGCGAGGACTCAGAGCAGGAAAAGGATACAAATGAAGATCCTGAGAATTAGGAAGATGAGACTGCAATAGAAGTGGAGTGTGAGACACAGACAGAGGATATTTGCGCTTCCACAAGCACTGGACCATCAGGTATGTGATGCTGAAAAGAACATAATCCTGTTCTCTCTGTGTGTGTGTGTGTGTGTGTGTGTGTGTGTGTGTGTGTGGGTGTGTGTGTGCGTGTGTGTGTGTGTTTGTGTGTCAGAAAAGATGGTGAGTCTTTTTTAGTATTCCTTTTGAATTTTAATTTTTATTTAACAGGAACAATATATAAGACATTGCCTTCTAAAATTTGGATAATTATATGCATGTAAAACATTTAGCTTCAGTGTATTTGCAATTTTAGTCCCTGGTCAGGCTTGAAAATGTATTAATTTATATTTATTGAATACAATAAAAAATAATGAATACAATTAATAAAAAGCATCAATCAATACATTTTAGACACTCGATTATGTCTGAGTGCCTCAGCAATGTAAGTGTACCGGGTTAGTGTACATGCTGTGTCGATGCAGAATTTGTGTTTACATTTATTTGGTTTGTTTTTGTCCACAGACATCAGTAGATGTAAAGAGGACCCGCCAATGCAACCTGGGCTAAAACAGTTTCCCAGGACCCTGATGGGGGACAGGACAAGGAGCTTCAAGGCAGGCTGGTACCATATCCACGCCTGGCTTGAATATTGTCAACAGATGGACTCCGCGTATTGTTACGCAGATATTGTAGCCCTCCTAATTCTGTTTTTTTCTCATCACTGTAATGTTATGACTACAATGCTTTCAAAGTTTGATGAAAGAAAAAGTCTTTTTAGCCCTGGGTTGAACGTGCCCTTCCATCCATCAAAACCCCTGGCCCCAGCCCGGCCTCCTCAATGAAACTGATCTAGAACCGCCACTGGGGAGGCGTGGAGGGGGCAGAACATGGAGGCAGTTGAGTCTCTTGTCCGCGGTCGGTCAACATGTCAGAAATAAGGTCCTCTTTTCCCATTTGGGGGGCGTTTTATTCCCAAATGCAACATCGGATTAGGACCAGAGTGGTCGGGTTGGATAGCCGAGGGGCTGTAGGTACCCCCAGACCTACGGCCCTCACGGGATAACGAAGGTTTATTTTTTAATGATTTTTTAAAAACGGTCGAAAATGTCCACATGTTAGGCGTTCAGGCCAACTTTTCGGGAATAAGGTCCTCTCTTCCCATTTCAGGGGCGTTTTATTCCCAAATACAACATCGGATTCGGACCGGACTTGTCGGGTTAGATAGCCAGGGAGCTGTAGTTACCCCCAGACCTACGGCCCTCACGGGATAACGAAGGTCTATTTTTTAATGATTTTTTTTAAAACGGTCGAAAATGTCCACATGTTAGACATTCAGGCCAACTTTTCGGGAATAAGGGCATACTTTCCCATTTCAGGGGCGTTTTATTCCCAAATACAACATCGGATTCGGACCAGACTGGTCG